ACGAAGCTGACAACAATCTATAACAGGCAAAAGTGGACAATATTTGCTAGTAATGAATTTCAGAACTAAACGTTGAAGACACTGAATTTTCTATGTATCACAGGGATTGTCAATGGGATATTTGATGACAACCGATACAAATCAAACCCCAAAATGACTCTACTTCAATCTGTGGATGTTCTTGGTCTTGGATTTGGACCTAATATGGAGAAAAAGTTGAAATATGCAGAATATGTCAGTTCTGGGGTAGTTTTTGGGAAAGAACTTGTAAACTCACCTGCAAATATACTTACCCCAGGTTCCCTCCTTTCTGTTGCTTTAATATCTATCATTTACTTTGAACTAATATTGAGTATCAACTTCATATAACTTGTCATAGCACTGACTTCGCTTAGTTACATCCACACATTAGGGGAATTTGCAGGAGAGGTTTTAAAGATTGCAGAGGAGTACAACGATGTTCTTTCAGCAAAAATTTTCAAAGAAGACAGAATGATAGAATTGAAGATGGGTTCCTACCTTGGTGTCACTGCAGCAGCAACTGCAAATCCTGCTCATTTTATCCACCTGTGTTACAAACCTCCCTGTGGACCTGTATTAACCAAATTGGGTTTAGTTGGTAAAGGAATTACCTTTGACAGGTGATCATTCATGAACTACCCTGATAAGTTTCTTTAGAAAATGCTCAACAAATGTTTTGAGTAACTCACTGATTTCTTCTGTCAATTAGTGGTGGCTACAACCTTAAAACAGGACCCAACAGTAACATTGAAACAATGAAAAAGGATATGGGAGGGGCAGCAGCAATCTTTGGAGCAGCAAAAGCCATTGCTGAGCTTAAACCTCCTGGTGTAGAGGTAAAGCATTAGATCTGTGAGATCCCACATTGGTTGGGGGAGGAGAACGAAACATTCTTTATATGTGTGTGGAAACCTCTTCCTAGGAAACACGTTTTAAAAACCTTGAGAGAAAATTCAAAAGGGAAAGCCCAAAAAGGACAATATTTGCTAGCGGTAGGATTGTAAGATCCCACATCGGTTAGAGAGGAGAACGATGCATTCCTTATAAGGATGTGGAAACCTTTTCCAAGCATACACATTTTAAAAACCTTAAGGGGATCTCCGAAAGGGAAAGCCCAAAGAAGACAATATCTACTATAGTGGACTTGGGTTTGGGTTTGGGTTGATACAAGATTTATCCCTCGTTTCCATGTCATGAAGCTCTTAAATGTGTAATAGAGATAATGGGGGCTTGTTTTCTTGTTCCCGAACAGATTCATTTTGTTGTTCCTGCCTGTGAGAACATGATAAGTGCAACTGGCATGAGACCAAGTGATATCGTCACAGCTTCAAATGGAAAGACAATTGAGGTACACATTCTTGGGTTCATTGACCCACAAAAAAGGATCTTTAGGCTATCATCATTCATTGATTGTATCTGTTTTATATTTTCAGGTTAACAACACAGATGCTGAAGGAAGACTTTGCCTTGCTGATGCTTTGTTCTACACTTGTAATCTGGGTGTTGAAAAGGTAAATATACAATAAGTTAGTATTGATAATGTTCATTCGTCAACCTTGTGGATTCATTATGTGAGACTACAGGGAATGAGTACCAGCAATAACGTTGGGCCCTATAGGAGGGGATTATGAGATCCCACATCGGTTGGAGAGGGGAACAAAACATTTTTTTTAAGGGTGTGGAAACCTCTCCCTAACAGATGTGTCTTGAAAACTTAAAGGAGAAGCCCGAAAGGGAAAGTCCAAAGAAGACAATATCTACTAGCGATGACCTTGGGCCCTAAAGAAGAGAATTGTGAGATCCCTCGTCGGTTGGAGAGGGGAACAAAACATTTTTTATAAGGGACGTTTTAAAAACTTTAAAGAGAAGTGGAAGGGAAGTCCAAAGAGGACAATATCTGCTAGCGGTGGGCTTGGGCCGTTATAGATTAGATATCTAATGCAACATCAAAATGCTTTGCAGATTATAGACCTGGCTACTCTAACGGGTGCTTGTATAATGGCTCTTGGGCCTTCAGTTGCAGGTATGAATAATCTTCAAAACATCTTATTCTTCATGCTTCATTTGAAGATAAGAACATGTGATTGGGTTTCATGTGAGTTGTTTCCAGGTGCCTTTACACCAAATGAAGAGCTAGCAAAAGAGGTAATTGATGCTGCAGAGAGGAGTGGTGAGAAGATATGGAGGTTGCCAATGGAGGAAAGCTATTGGGAGTTCATGAAATCAGGCGTGGCTGATATGATCAACACTGGTCCTGGTCAAGGCGGTGCTATCACAGGCGCTCTGTTTCTGAAGCAGGTATTTGTCACTCATGTTCTTACCAACCAAATGATATCTTAAAGAGCTGTAGATAGATATATAGATACCCACTAACTTGGAAGTTGGTTTGTGTAGTTTGTTGCTGACAATGTCCAATGGATGCACCTAGACATTGCTGGTCCCGTTTGGAATGCCAGGAAGAGTATTGCAACTGGATTCGGTGTTTCCACACTTGTGGAGTGGGTTCTAAAGAATGCTTCTTAAGAGGTTCAGGCATGGCAAGGACCTCAACAATAAATAAACTCTAAGGTGGATGCTAAGAGTTTTCAAGGGTTGCAGCATTGAGAAATCAATCTAAATAAAAGTTAACATAAGTATTAGTAATATCAATAAAGACTCTTGTTAAGGATTCTTGGCAATTCTTAAGAGTTTTAGACTTTCTTCTATCATGTTTCCTTGGTGTATACACCTTCCCCTTCATCTATTTCCTCATTTGCTATCACAATATGCTCACTGAGAACAACTGAAAATTCAAATGATGGTAATATAAAATAAAAATAAGAAGCAAGAAAAGCTAGCCAAAAAAACACAAAATTACAGATTAGACTCCAACTCAAAAGAATGAGCGATGGATGATGATGAGTAATGTAATACACCTCAAGTTCACCGTTAGGAGATATTGTCTTCTTTGAACTTTCCTTTTCCAACCGATGTGGGATCCCACATCCAACCCTCTTGGGGGACCCACCAGCGCCCTCAACACCTGCCAATACTCTAATACCATTAGTAACCGTCTAAGCCCACCCTTAGCAAATACTGTTCTCATATCTCGTTCCAAATAACGAAATCTTATAAAAGATCCAGGAAATGAAGATCACGGTGTTAAATGTCACCTATAGGGAAAGGAATGAATGAAGATCACCTTGAGTCTACAAGCAACAAGACAAAGGGGGAACAAATGATAAATAACAGGGTGCAGGAAGAATCTGTCAATTGAAGACTTTCCAATGGAAAAAATTGATGAGATCTTAGTCCCTAATAAGTTCATTTTCTCTGTTTCTTCTCTTACCCTTCTTCTCCCTCCTCTGTCTCTCAAGATCACTCTTGCCGGCATTGTCATTTGTATTAATTACTCGTTTGACAAAGTAATGACGAACTTAAATGAGCACAAGTCATATCTGATTCCTTCGATTGACTTAATGGTTCCGAAAAAAAGACAAATATAGGGAACTCCTTCCATTAGGGAACTGCAGTGTTTGGCTAAAGAAACCATACTGCAGTGTTTGGCTGGAAAAGACAGAGTAAGCAACATTGACAACCCAAAGACCAATATCAATAGACCCTAGAACTGTTACTCAAGGTGAGTGAAGAAGTACAGCAAGCAAAATATATAAAATCTGACAACTAACCTTTATATTTGGACATACATTAATCAAATAGTAATTTGATGAGACAAAATTGCTTTTGCAGGTAACTGAAAGTGTTTGTTCATTGACGGGACACCTATCTCATAGATTTTATAACCCCAGATCACTACGATCATTTCAAGTACCTACCTCCCCATGGCTCCTCTGTGTTGAAATATCAAACTCAAACATAACGTAAGATGTAAAAACAGAGATTTGAGGGTTTTCCAAACTTACTAACGACTCCCTTAGCGAGCTTCACCACTCCCGTGCGTGGTGTGACATGTTTGGTCACTGACTCACTCTCCCAGTCCCTGAGCGATCTCGCCATGGATCAAGAATTTACGTATCCCAGACACGATTGACGACAATGAAGTTCTGAGAAAGGTTGAAGAATTTACCAGATAATGGTATCAGAGACAAGATTGACGACAATGAAAAAGTTGATGATTGGTTGTTTGTCAAAGAATTGTGGTTTTCGGTTGCAGAAGGTTACGCCATGAATTTACTAAATCTCTCAGTGATGGATTGTTCTGTATAGAAGGGGCATGGGGTCTTATTTATAGATTTTGTTTTAGTCCCTCCTCCGGTTACTTTCCAATGTGGGATTTAGGATTCTAATTTTCAGTTTACCGCTAGTTGGACCAATTTTCTTCTACGGTCAAATTTTGTTAGACGAACATGACACTCTAGACTCTCTGGACATGATTTTGTACTTTGAGTGGCTTTACTTTGTGCTTCCCCAAAATGCTTTATTCCAATGAAAATAGTATTCCTTGATTATAAACTTCTGATCATTTCCTAAATTAGCTAAGACTTTCATCATCTAACACCTCCCCTCGAACAAAGTACGTCTCCCCTTAATTGAGGTTTGACTTTTTGTCTTAGTCATTTTTTACTATGCCTTCGAAGAGGCTAGACTCCTCTTCTTTTGGAGTCTTTTGTTCGACATTTGAGAATTTACCAATCTATTGGCACAACTAAGTTTAGGGCATGACTCTGGTATCATGTTAAACGAACACAACTCTCCACAATGGTATGATATTGTCCACTTCGAGCATAAGCTCTCATGACTTTGTTTTGGGCTTTTCCAAAATACCTCATTCCAATGGAAATAGTATTATAAATCCATGATCATTCCCTAAATTAGTAGACGTGAGACTTTCATCCTCGAACGTATTTAATCCCTAGGGTTTAGTTCTACTATTTTTCATCCACATTCCCAAATTTCTATACTTTAAAATTAAATATAATTAGATAAAAAAAATATTAATTTTAGAAAATAAAAAAGATTTCAGGAGGGAGAGAGACCCTCAGCCCATCTCTTAGGTTGCAGACCCAACCCATTATAGAACGTAGAATTCTCTCTCTTTAATCTTTTAGCAAATCGATGCTTTCTTTTTTGCTGACGATTTACTACAAATAAGTAAAATGGCCGCCATTGTTGGAGCCTTGGGAACTACCTTTGCTTCTTCTTCCTCGTATTCCTTTCGTTCTTCTTCTTTTGTTCTCCGGAAACTAACCCATTTTTATCACCCTTCTTACTCTGCTTCTCTTCGGGGTTCTTTTGCTTTTTTTCGCTTCTGTTCTCGTGGAGGGAAGTGCATGGCTCACTCGCTGGCCCGGGCCAATCTCGGCCTAACAAATCCTGCTCCTAATGAAGCCCCCCAGGTGATTGGGACATTGGAATGTTACTACCCACTGATTGTTTGTTCTTGATTGTTTTGTTTTTCGACTTGTGGTGGGTTTTGTTTGATTGGGTTTTCTTGGATTGAAGTTTAGGAATTGCGTGGTTGGTTTCTCTTAATGGGTTTTTGAGGTTGAATCGATTGGGATTGTGTTTATGTTTTTTGAAATGTGGGATACAAGGATCTATTCTACATGATGGATTTGCTTCGGTCTCTTTGTTTGTTCATTTGCGTTACGGATTCATTTTGTTTTTAGTTCGTTTGATCAGTATTCATTGTTGGAACTGATATCGATTTTCTAACAGAACCATCGGGTGTTGTATTTTTTTTTTTAATTCTGTTTCTTTAGAGGTTTTGGGGTGTTCATGTTTGTCGTGAAGTATTAATTGTATGTTACCTGTTTGTGAAAATGTCTCAAAGATATCTTTTGGGGCAAAAGACATTGATGTCTTGGAATGGAAAGGAGATTTGCTTGCAGTTGGTGTGACAGAGAAAGATGTGGACAAGGATGAAAATTCCAAGTTTAAGAATCCGATTTTGAACGAGCTAGATTTGCGCTTGGGCGGATTGTTGGCTGAAGTATCTGCTGAGGAAGACTTCACCGGAAAGGTTGGCCAATCGACGGTTATTAGATATCCTGGTCTTGGCACTAAGAGGGTTAGTTTGATTGGCCTTGGACAGTCAGCTTCAAATGTAGCAGCCTTTCGAGGTCTAGGTGAGGCCGTTGCATCAGTAGCGAAGGCATCTCAAGCAAGTGAAGTTGCTATATCCCTTGCCTCTTCCCAGGAACACTCTTCTGAATCCAAGCCCAACATTGCCTCAGCCATTGCATCTGGTACTTGTCTCATCTTCTGGATAGAGCAGCTTGTTGTTGTATTTGATACTGAATTCTCTCTTTTGCTTGAATGGATTACAGGAACTATACTTGGGATATTTGAAGACAATAGATACAAATCAGAGTCCAAAAAGTCCGCTCTTAAATCTGTGGAAATTATTGGTCTTGGATCTGGAGCAGAAGTAGATAAAAAGATTAAATATGCACAAGATCTCAGTTCTGGGATACTTCTAGGAAGAGAACTTGTCAATTCACCTGCAAATGTACTCACCCCAGGTTCGCTCGATTTTACGTTTTAACTATTAAAATCCATTCCTTACTCTCTTCCTAGTCAATTAAATGACTCTGCGTGTTTCAAATTTCCAGTGGCACGGAAGGCCAGTTACATTTTTGAGTGTGTACCCTAAAGAAAATATTTGAGTTTCAAGTTGATGTAATGTGTCGTAGCGTTTATTTTATGATCGATGCATGCGCAGTATTAACCTTGTTAAATTACATCCACAAATTAGGGGCACTGGCAGCAGAGGCTACAAAGATTGCATCAACTTACAGCGATGTTCTTTCTGCAACCATTTTAAATGAAGAGCAATGCAAAGAATTGAAGATGGGCTCCTACCTTGGTGTTGCTGCAGCCTCCACAAATCCTCCTCATTTTATCCACTTGTGTTACAAACCTCCCAGTGGACCGGTATCGGTCAAATTGGGTTTGGTTGGTAAAGGATTAACCTTCGACAGGTGATTATATGTCAACCAAAATCGGAACTTTCTTTAGAAAATGCTCAATGAAATTAGAAATGGATGTATTTATTACTCTGATAGAATCAACTTAAATTCATATAAGGTTTTATTTATGTCCTTAAGTCAACTATGGTTGGTTAACACTCCGTTTTTTTTTTCTTTCCATTAGTGGTGGCTATAACATTAAAACTGGACCTGGGTGTTCAATTGATATAATGAAAATTGACATGGGAGGTTCAGCAGCAGTTCTTGGTGCAGCAAAAGCCATTAGCCAAATCAAGCCTCTTGGAGTGGAGGTAAAACATTTGAGCTGTTCACCACTTTAATATCGTTAGGATCTTAAATGGACTTATAAGTTTTACGAGCTTGTATTCCTTTTTTCTTGTACTCAAACAGGTTCATTTTGTCATCGCTGCCTGTGAGAACATGATAAGTGGAACTGGCATGAGACCTGGAGATATTATCACTGCTTCAAATGGAAAGACAATAGAGGTATATCTTCTTTGTTTGATTGAACCATAAAAAGTATCTTCGAGCTAAAATCATTGTAATCATTTATGTTTGTGTTCGGTTTATACCCAAATTGTTTGTCATTTAGATGACACAGACTGTGTGGCTGAGCCGAATTTCGCTGTTATATTGATTCGGAGTGGATGCATAAGAAACAGTCTTGAATGTTTGATTGTAATAGTATGGAAAGTTCTTACCGAAACCACAACTTTCTGCCGACCTTCTAAATATGGAACTTACTGATAAAAATAATTATAACTGTAACAATAAGAGTGATACTAATACTACCCACGATAAGCTCATACTCGATCGTGATGACATGAGATGTAAAATCGAGCATTTAATGGCAGTTCGATATAGCTGAAAAAGACTGGAATTGGACCTGCATGCTTTTGAATATTGATGATCTTTATACTTTTTCTGGATACCTGCTTCCTGATGATCTATTCTCCCCCTTATTACAAATCAAAGTATACATCATCCTTTTATTTAACTTCATTTTGGCCAGTTTTCAGGTTAATAACACTGATGCTGAAGGCAGGCTTACGCTCGCTGATGCTTTGGATTATACTTGTAAACAGGGCGTTGACAAGGTATATATATTCATAAATTAATATTAGATGATTGATTAATTTGGATTGAACGTCGTTATTGCGGATTTATTCAATATCTAATTAAAAAAGTAGATCTATTGAACCTCGGATACCTGTAGTTCTAAAAATAGTTAATAATAAATCCACCCTTTTCCATGTAGTCTATCGTATTTTAATTTAATATCAATGAGTGTCGAGACCAGCTCTTGCACGCCTCGACTAATCTCATAGGACAACTCACAGGCCTGTCTGGCCTTACGTCATTTACATGTTTAGAACCTATCGGATATTAAATCCTAAGTTGGTAGCTATGATGCTTGAACTCGTTCCTTCTAATCCTAACATATAATATCTAGCTTTAGCAAGTTAAAACACGTGCACGATCATTTATAAGTTGCCTAATATTGTGTAAGTTGGATAAATTGTGTTCATTTTTATGGCATTACGCAGTAACCAGATATGTCATAACTAATAGTTCTGGATATTGTTCTTTTCTTATGCAACATTAAATTTTTTTGCAGGTAATTGACTTGGCTACTCTAACTGGTGCTTGCATAGTTGCTCTCGGGCCTTCAATTGCAGGTATGTTAACCGACCGAGCATCATTTGCTTTATAGTCGATCTGTAAAGAAGAATATGACAATAGGTTTTCTTGTGAGTTGTTAAAAACTCTGGATCATCAAAGACAAAGTAGAAAGTAGAAAGTAGAAAATGGAACTTGTTCAGAAATACGGTAATGAAAGGAAGATAGGAGTTTGTCGCTAGGTAGTTGGCCAAATAGGATCGTCCAGTTCCTATAGTTCTAGAAAAGAGATTACCTCTAACCAAGAGTTCTAGAAATGTTGAATGGTTGGAGACACTTCCGATATCGTTCCTTTTCGTTTTCCTTCCTCTCTCAAACACCTGGCTTTATAATTGGAGACTACAAAAGTAAATGAAATTGATAGTTTCAAAATTCTTCGGAAAATAAAGAGTCAAACTGTCAACTGAAGCATTACGTGCGCTCCCCTTGGGTTGAAACAAGAATTTACTTCAGTTATATAAGGATCAACAGGATTGTATAAGATAAAACAGGAGTATTTCTCTGGTAAAAGTATATATATCGGTTTGATTTCGGATACAATATCGCCACCATAGATAAAATTTTACTCACTTCTTCAGAAGGTTGGTTGTTGTTTAGTCAATGATGCAAATAAACATGTGATTCGCCTGAAATAAAGTGTATATCTGTCAGATCGAATTCCGTTTTGTTTTCCAGGTGTCTTTACACCTAGTGATGACTTGGCAAAAGAGGTATTGGCTGCTTCAGAAACCAGTGGTGAGAAACTTTGGAGGATGCCATTGGAGGATAGTTATTGGGAGTCGATGAAGTCAAGTGTGGCTGATATGGTCAACACCGGTGGTCGTCCGGGTGGTGCCATTACAGCTGCTCTGTTTCTGAAACAGGTGGATATCATCTTCTTATTGCACTTCCTGAAAGGGAGTAGTTTGATCATCTCTTTGTGCTTTCATTCAGCATTGATGTCTTGTTGACTAGCTCTACAAATCTACCATGCGTCTGAAGATGAGATTTATCCTCTACACGCTTTAGAAGACTCATATTTGAATTCATGTTTCTGTAGTTTGTTGATGAGAAGGTCCAATGGATGCACATTGACATGGCAGGCCCTGTCTTCAGCGACAAAAAGCGCACTGCAACGGGGTTCGGCGTCGCCACATTAGTCGAGTGGATTCAGAAGAATGCTTCTTAAGCAGTTGACGATCGAAGGGTAGACGACGAGAGACATCAGATCGATGGCTCTACTGTGGATGCTAGGAGCTTTCATGGGTTGTCAGCACTGTGAGATCAATCTGAATAAAAGCTGTGAGCAGCAGCGTCTGTGGTTTTATAAATGCTCTTCGTTTTTTTAGCCATTAAATTATGAGAAATGGGGCTTAGAGAAGTTATAGACATCGAACGACACGATGACTGAAGGGTGAATTCACTTGATATATTTTCTAGTAGAAGCTCGATAGAACGTGTTTTTATGGTACGTAGAGAAACATTGTTCGTTATAGAGAGAAAAATTGTTCCTTTGGCAATGAGGCAAAAGTTCTATTGGAAATAAGAACAGTAAGTAGTTGCCTATTCTCATGTGCAAACCTTTTCTCATGTGCAAACATATAATGTGGAATTGTACGTTGAGACAAGACAAGTGTCATGATGCAACCAAGGAAGACATTGTATCGTTTAACACACTGAGAAAGATGTACATTGAAGATAGGCTTGATATGGATGAGGGAGAGCACCTAGCCTTAACTTCGAAAGTTGGAGTTCAAGTTTGGGCATGTGGCTCTAGAGTTACATCTGTTTGTATGAAATATAAATGTTCGTAAAATTTGGCGTCAGTTAGCCACCGAACAGACATCGAATGGTCTCTCTAATCAAATTCGCAAAATCTGATTAGAGAATCCCTCTGCCCATTAGCTTCCAACCTGTATGTAGAAAGCCTGAGAAATATAAGCACAAAATACATATTGAGGATTGATTTCAGTAACCTTTTTTACAAGTTACAAACTACAATCACATATGCAATACATCAAGTTTAGCCCATCTAATCAAATTCAAAATAAAAGCCAGGAGGCACATAATAATGCATTCAGTTTTTGTCACATTACACAACAAATCAATCCGCATCATCAGCGGTAAAATCTGGCTCTGGAGGCTTCTGCAATTTTATTAATTCCTGAGCGCTTTTTGCGTTTCGATATCGCTGAACGCCACGGAGAGCATTGGCAGCAAATTTGGAAGCTAAGAACGTTGCACGAATACTATAAGATCCACCGCTCGTAGTAGTTTGAGCTCCCTCAGATTCTTCTGCTGCAACTTCTTCCTTTTGACGAAGTTCTAAAGACTTTCTCTTGGAATACCGACGCCACGCTGCTTGGATGAAGCAAGCTGCCCAGGTCCTCCATTGCTGCGAGTAAAATCGGAAGGTATGTTGTACCTGTCTACTGTGAAGGCGCCTGAACTGACTGGCCACGAATTTCAACTCTTCAGCAACAAGGGCGAAAGCCTCAACCTCTGTAATAGCCTTTACTGTCCTTGTAGAAGTTGGAAGATTCGAACCAGATTTCGGGTCTAGAGCCCAGGTCAAAAGCTCCTCACCACAAAAATCACCTTCTTTCAAAAAGGTACGGTTGAAAAAACCACTCCGCCCGCCATCCGTGGTCACACTCTCGAGCCGACCACGTATAATGAAAAGCATCTCATCAACTGGATCACCTTCACGGACTATGTAAGTGTACTCCGTAAACAAACATGGTTTCAGCCGCTCACAAATAGCATCAAGCAGCCTTTCGTCCATGTTTTCAAACAGAGGAACCTAAAAATCATCAGGGAATATAAAAATATTAACAGAGCACAAAGGGCAAAACAATCCTAGGATGAAAATTACAAACTGAAGCCTGCAAATTCAACGGTTATCATGAACTTATATACATATGGAAGTTTTTAAAGAAATGTAGTACCACGCTTTGAATTTGCACTATTGTCGTAGATATCGCTAGAATATACATGTTCAGTGTAAAAAGTTTACTACCGACTTAATAGTAATAATAAGACGAGTGAAATAAAGAAAAATAGCCGAAGCAGCAGCCTTACCATAACTAAAGCTAAAACTTGCAAATTTTCATGAATAGACCTACAACTATGGTTGGGAGAGAGTTCCATGTTGGCTAATTTAGGGAATGATCATGGGTTTATAAGTAAGAAATACATCTCCATTGGTATGAAGTCTTTTAGAGAAGTCCAAAACAACGCCATGAGAGCTTATGCTCAAAGTCGACAATATCATACTATTGTAGAGATCTGTGATTCCTAACACGGTATTAGAACCAAATTTAGTCAGGTTAATAGAATCCTCAAGTGTCGAATAAAGAAATTGCTAGCCTCGAAGGTGTAGTCAAAAGTGACTCAAGTGTCGAACAAAAGGTGTACTTTGTTTGAAGACTCCAGAGAAAGGAGTTGAGCCTCGATTAAGGGGAGGTTGTTCAAGGGCTACATAGACCTTAGGGGAGGCTGTATGGTGTACTTCGTTCGAGGGGAGGATTGTTGAGGATTGTTGGGAAGGAGTCCCACATTGAATAATTTAGGGAATGATCATAGGTTTATAAGTAAGGAATACATCTCTATTAGTGTGAGGCCTTTTGAGGAAGTCCAAAGCAAAACCATGATAGTTTGTGCTCAAAGTGGATAATATCATACCATTGTGGAGATCCGTGATTCCTATCACAATACACATGAAATTTTTCTAAAGAAATTTAGTTCCACCCTCCGAGGTTGTGCTAAATATTTGTACATAATGAAAGAATTTACTCCTACCTAAATAATAATAATATGAACAAACCAACCAAACAAAGAAAAAGAGTCAAAAGCAATAACCTTACCCTTCTTACTAAAGCCAGACAAAGATGCCGCTTAATATCTCTCCTAAGATCCTTGGGTAAAGTTTGAACCAAACTCTGTTCATCCACCCCACGGGTCTCCAACCACTTGTACTGATCGTAACGCCTGACTCTCTCCCGAAGCTCCTGTGGCAGCAAGCGGTGGTGCATCCACTGCTCCGAATCACGCTTTTTCACCCTCATTTCCTCAAGTCTTATAGTTAGAGATTGAAGATAAGTCTGTCATAATAACATTACCATCAGTTTCGGAATGTCAACATGGTTCTCTTTTCCACTCTTGAACATAATATTGTAGTTCAAATGTCTAGGTTAACAAAAAAAGATCAGCAATGGTCTTAAATTAAAAATGAGATAATAAAAAAGAAAAAGAAAACAGACAAGGAGCTCAGTCAGTAGAAAAGACACAAACTTCACACACCAAGCCAACTTGTAAAAAAAATCCTACAGCCATTTCAACCCAACCACCCAAAAAAGTTAGCACAAGTTGCATCGGTTCACAAAATACTAAAGAGGCCATAATTGCATTAGTTCAGAAAATATAAACAGTAGCCACAATTGCATTAGCTTACAAAATAAAGTTTGCCACTAAGACCAATTAAATGAACTGCGAAAATGAAAGGATCTACAACTATTTAGATTATAGATTGAAGTGGTAGCCGTGGAGGGAAAGTTTAATGCGGTTTCAGTAACGATGACAGGTATTCAAAATGTTCAAAAATCCCAACTCAAAATTACCAGTGCCTTGCAAACAACATCAAATTGATAGTATGAAGCAGTATTGTCTGCTTTGGCTCGTTACTTATCGTCGTCAGACTCACGGTTTTTAAAACGCGTTTTTTAGGGAGAGATTTCCACCTCTTATAAGGAATGCTTAGTTCCTCTCTTTAACCGGATGTGGGATCTCACGGGGAACCCAAGCTAGTACGAGGGGTAGGCAGCGGGAAAATGATCCCTGGAGTACAGTGGTTGTCCATGTTGGGTCAAATAACTATGGACTGGAACAAACTCTCATTGGAATCCAGTTTAGGAGACTGGAAGGTATCGTTGAAGGGGAAGGGACGCCATTCTACAAAGACTCCCAACGTGTTTGTTTAGATTGATATCCGTATTTGATTAAATCTCCTTTCAGTTGATTTAGTTTTTGATTTGTTTTAGTTTTGATTTGTTTAGTTAGTTTTTTTTATTTGATTTAGTTTTTGATTTGTTTAGTTAGTTTTTTATTTGATTTAGTTTTTGATTGGTTTTAATTTTTATTTGTTTAGTTAGTTTTTTTGATTTGATTTAGTTTTTGACTTGTTTAGTTAGTTTTTTGATTTGATTTAGTTTATGATTTGTTTAGTTAGTTTTTGATTTGATTTTGTTTTGTTTAGCTAGTTTTTTTTATTTGATGTGTTTAGTTAGTTTTTGATTTGATTTAGTTTTGATTTGTTTTTTTGATTTGTTTAGTTAGTTTTGATTTGTGATTTGATTTAGTTTTAATTTGTGATTTGATTTAGTTTTGATTTGTTTTAGTTTTTGATATATATATAGAGTCTTTTTGCTTTTCATAATATAATCTTCTCATCAACTATTCAATCACTCACCTTTTTCACTGACAAATTGGTATCAGAACCAACTATTCAATCACTCAGAGCCAACTATTCAATCACTCATCCTTTTCACCGACAAATTGGTATCAGAGCCAACTATTCAATCACTCATCCTTTTCACTGACAAATTGGTATCAGAGCCAACTATTCAATCACTCATCCTTTTTACTGACAAATTGGTATCAGAGCCAACTATTCAATCACTCAACCTTTTCACTAAGAAATTGGTATCAGAGTCATGCCCTAAAATTTAGTCATGCCAATAGATTGGCAAATCTTCAAATGTCAAACAATGAACCCTAAAGAAAAGCCATGAGATGATGAAAGTGTACTTTGTTCGAGGGGAGGTGTTGGATGATGAAAGTCCCACATCGGCTAATTTAGGGAATGATCATGGGTTTATAATCAAAGAATACTCTCTCCATTGGTTTGAGGCCTTTTGGAAAGCCCAAAGCAAAGCCATGAGAGCGATGTTCAAAGTGGACAATATCATACCATTGTGGAGAGTCGTGTTCATCTAACATGGTATCAGAGCTCGATTCAGCTCATTTCCCCTGCCTCATCTGTCACCGAAACAGCCACTCCTAATCAACAATTGCAGCTTGCCTCGAAGGCCCCGTCCGATGCCAAGAACTTCGCCGAGTCCCAGCCTTTGATCAAAATGTCGAAGCACGGCGGTGCGTCGGGAATACAGAATACCAAAAACAAGAAAATCAAATTGTCCTTTTCGCTCGCTCCATTGGACGAAGGGACAGGGAACCAAATCTCGCCGCCATCTTCACAATCAGTAAGTAAATGTATGCATTGTGAGATAACCAAGACACCACAATGGAGAGCAGGACCAATGGGACCAAAAACTCTTTGTAATGCTTGCGGTGTTCGGTATAAGTCCGATAGACTCTTCCCTGAATATCGACCAGCAGCAAGTCCAACTTTCGTCCCATCCCTTTTTAGAAATCCTAGCTTGCAAGACTCGGAGTATTCCAACCATGCAGAAGTTCTTCAACATTCCACAAGATCTTCCTTACTATGACTCAACACAAGGTCAAGAGGAGGAGCTTTCGGT